CAAATCAGCATTTAGCCCTAAAACATCTGGCAATCTACAATCTGGGATGACCTCTCCTTGCAAATCTTTTGTTGGATATAGTACTGCTATAGCATAATGTAGGTTGCAAGGGACTTCTGGAAGTCTCTGGCTCAATTCCCCTGCTCAAAGCAGGGCTCCTTCCCAAACCAGATCATGTTCATGCAATCAGGTTCTCAAAATTTGCAAGGCTGGAGATCCCACGGCCCCTCTGGGCCCCTGTCTCAGTACTGGATCACCCTCACTGCAACGCTATGCAAGAATTCTTATAATTCTTATGAAACTTTCCTTTGTACTAGCTTTCAAGGCATGTCGTTTGTGGTTCTTGGACATTTAATACTTTTGATGTGCATCATACAAACACAGCTTGGAAAGACAACTGTCCTGTGAGTGCAAGTCATCTTGTTTTCTTCACACATGCAGATTTGAAAGTTCACTTTGAAAGAGTGGAAATCTGCAGAAGTTTTTCTAGTTATTCAAAGTTCAAAGCACATAAATATGAGACTCTGAGCCCATCCATGATACAGTACGGGGTACAAAAGCCAAATCCAGCTATTGTGTTATTGTGTAGCATAGACTCTGAGCAGTGAGCTGTACTTATTCCTGTGTGCTCAGACACAGCAAAGCATTTTGGAGAGAGGATGGATTAGTGAGGCACGTTACTGTGTATTACTTTTTTTCAAGGAACTTTTCTGCAGCAAACAGCTCCTCTTTGCAATGCTTGTGCTCCTCTGGTGTAGGCGAAGGAGGCTGGAGATGATGTGCAGGGATGGTGCCAGCTGTTTGCTGGCTGGAACAACTCTGGAGAAGGTGCCAGGGCTCCGTACATTCAGGTTTGAGTTCAGCTCTGAATCAGATGGAATACAAGCAAAAATAATACGTAGCCAGGAAGCTGCTGGTGAACATTTGTCCCAAGGAGGCTGGTGCACTGTTTGCTGAGATCTGCATCAAGCAAATCCAATAAATTGCCTCCAAGATTTGCTTGTGACCATGGTAGGGACATGGTACATGCCAGAGATTGTTCCACCCCATTTCTGATGTCCCTAGATTGTGCTGTGCCTGCAGTTTCTCTTAAAATAAATAAATAAATAAATAAAGTTAGACCAAGAAGGTAGGAAGCATTTGCATGCCCAGACCTAGTGACTGTGCGAGCAGGGTGTTCTGCAGTCTCTGTTGAATGCAGAAATGACTGTTACTTTTTTAACAGCTGTCACACACTGAGAGTGGTTGTGGGGAAAAGCAGTGAGGGTTGGAAAAGCAAGGAAAGGTAAATCGAATAAACCTCTTCCATCCACCACAGTACTCCCACTTACTCCCAGCTTTCCACTTCTCTCTTGTGTGATGGCACCTGGATTTGGATTTGCATCAATACAAATTGGTCAGGCTCCCCTGCGAGGCTGGGCTTGCACCCCAGCAGGGTTTCACCTCCTGCCGTAGCTGGGGCAAAGGCCGTGCTGTTGCACTGATGTGCTTCGAAGGGGAAGTAATCCTGTTGTTTTTCACTATTTGTAAGCAAACTATGGAAGGTAACAAAGTGAGTAGTGCTTTGTATTGACCTCTTAGTGGCCTTACTGGATCTGCAGAAGCTGTTGGCTTGTTTTATATGGATTTCTAGCTGATCACTGGTGCCTCTAGTAGCCAGGGATAAAATAACACCCCTGCTTTTAAAGCACTTAAGCTTCCAGGTGAGTGTTCAGGGCATGTGCTCTTTTAAGCCTGTGGATGGGTTGGTGGCATTGCTTGGCCCTGCTTAAAGGCTTTGGAGGGTGACGTTGGGGCTGAGGCTGTTCCCCTGCCCTGGTCCAGCCTCTGCCAGGGGACTGCTCCCTTCTGGGATGTTTCTGGGGTTTGCTGGGGATGCCCTTCACACCTGATGGGAGGGGAGGAGGCATAAAATGAGAAGTGGAGCGAAGTGGGTAGATTTCATTGACCTGCAGGTCTGGTCCCCTCTGCTCCCTTGCTGGTGCAGATCTTCTGCACCAGGCATCTACTGCTGTGCTGCAGCAGCTAAATTTAATATGAAAGCAGTTTAATTTTGGCTCAGATTGACTCCTTTCTTGATAACATCTGTAACAGTGGCATGGTCACAGATCAGTACACCTGTGCTGCTTCACAGTGTGCTGGTTTATGGAAGACCAAGGGTCCTGTTAGCCAAGGACTGGGCCATGCTGCAGCCTGATGTGATCAGAGGGGATCTCCTTTCCCCTGGACAGGGAAAATACTTGTGTAGAGCTTGGGGGCGAGGAGGAGGCAACTGACACTCCAATAGAAGCAAATCCGATGATTCATTTCCACAGCCCCCGGGGAGCTCACGTGTGAGCTGCGTATTGGGAGTTTCTAGGAATTTCAAGGAGCATCATTTGGTTTAAAGGTAGCACATTCAATATTGAGGAAGGAGCATAAAATATTGCTGCTAGATGGCATTATAGGAATTGAACAAGCCAGGACTCATGGGCGTTGTGCTAAGAAATAACCTGAAAGAAAAAAAAAATGTTGTGAAGATTGTTAAAATCCCAAATGAAAAGTCTCTTGGCTCAGAGTATCTGTGCTCTTGGTATGTCTTTCCTCGTGCCTCAACACCCTGATTTCAATGTTACTTGTCATTTTCCTGTTTCTTTTTTTGGTTTCTTATGGCCTCTATTGCTTCATCATTTCTGCCTGATGATCGCAATGGTTGCTAATACAAAATTGTCAATACTTTTAATTAACATCCTGCTTTTCTCTTCTTCCAGATAATTAAATGCTCAACAAAAACAGACCTAGCGCCTTCCCACAGGTGTCTCCCACTCGATCATTACATTGTCTCTGTCTCCTCTTATCGCTGACCCAGTTTTCTTTTCAATTCCGTCAGGAGCTTCCATCAGCTCGGTTAATTTTGGAGCCTGTTTTATGTCTGACACTGTGCATGTTGCCCAAGGGCTCATGATGTCTAGGGTGCTATTGGCGAACACCACAAAGGGTCTTAGGTGTCTGGACTCTTGTAGCCAAAAATTAGCTCCTGCCAACCTTAAACCCAGAGGCTTTCAGCAGTGCTTTTACACAGGGCTCATTGCAGGTGGTGACCAAGGCTGAGGGTATGTTAGGAGGGACAGTCCTTGTTCCAGACCTGTGATGCTGAGCCTTGATGCATGTATGAGGCTCTGTGAAGTGTGGGCTGCTGTTTTGGGGTGGGAATGACCTGTCTTTACAGTGCCTACAGGCGTGGCGAAGGCTGTTCCGTGTTTTCTGAAGCAGAGCCTGTTGAGTCTTGCTTTATGTCACTTTGATGAACATCTCTCCATAAGCATCAGGCTAAACTAATCCCAGATTATCACATCAATTGCCGTTGCTCACTAACCCTCCTCAGCGTGGTGTTGCAGAATTAATTACCAGTATTCATGATGTTCGTTATTACAGTCCCTCGACACCCCACGTGGCGCATCATCTACATCTAGTGATATTTATCATTGCATTTTCCAAGTGGTCCCACTCCTGCTTTTTATCACTAGCTGTGTTTACCAGGCTTCATTGTGCTCTATTGCTTGGATTTTTGTAGTTTTTGATACTTTATTCAAAGCCATTTAGGCACTTAGAGCCATTAATTTTATTTGTCTCTTCCATTCTAATGGGCTGACTTCTTCTGCTGGCATACATGTGAGGAAATAACCCCTCTTCTCTAGGCTTTTTGGTCCTTAGTAAATAGTTGTCCTAATTCTTACTATCTTTTCCCTTTAAGTTTTAAGTTGTCATATATACATCTTGTTTGCTTCCTTCTCTTTTGTTTAATTTAATTCTTGTCCTCAAACAAGGAGTAGCCATGTAGTAAACCAGTTAAATCCCTGCAGCACTTCAGCATGAGTGTTAGCTGGATCTTAAGATGTTGTACTGGCCTTGACCGATTTGTGTGCCTGCTGTGACTTTGCACTACAAGCTGAAGAGGTGGAGGCTTTTATATAGAATAACAGAATGGTTTGGGTTGGAAGGGACCTTAAAGATCATCTAGTTCCAACCCCCTTGCTGTGGACAGGGTTGGAACTAGATGAGGCTGCCCAGGGCCCCATCCAACCTGGCCTTGAATCCTCCAGGGATTGGGCATCCGCAACTTCTCTGAGAAACCTGTTCCAGTGCCTCACCACCCTCTGAGTGAAAAATTTCCTCCTAATATCTAAACTAAATCTACCCTCTCTTAGTCTAAAGCCATTTCCCCTTGTCCTATCACTGTTTTACCTGTATCTGGTTTAAAACTGGCAGATAAATTGGCAGAATAATGGCATCTTATTTTACAAAGCTGGAACAAACCCTTGTAAATTTTCTCTTGATGTAATTGTGACAAAATTAGAACTGTCTTGTAAGTTAGACCAGCTATATGCTGGACAGAAACTGTTTTGAGCTGCAAAGAGATAGCAGAGAAAGTCCTTGCTTGGATAAGGAGAACAGGTTTGCCCTTGAATTATTTATATTACATTAAATTATTTCACCACTGGTCCTGACTGGTGTTTTATATATGAAAAGCCAGAAGAAATGAGCAAGGAGGAAAAAAAACAAATGAGGAAAGACCTGATGAATGGCATCTTCAACAGCCAGCTCGCAAGACTTCCCATTTGGTGATGAAACCTCTTCTGAAGGGGAGGAGAGGCTAAATGGGGAAGAGATTGCACTGAAACAAGCATGCACGCAGCAGCTTGCTTTTGACTGAGGTGTACCTGAAGTGGTAAAAGTCTTGTGTGCGTTTTGTGGTGGCAGAGTTGTTCAGAAATGATGTTCAGGGTGGTTTGAAGTGCTCATGATGCTTAAATGAACTAGCCAGGGTGAAAAGTGCACATGTGTGTGTACCTACATGTGGCTGATTCCTCCTGTATTGCTGCTGTCCCCAAAGGAAAGCAGAAGTGCACACCATAAGCACCCTGATAAGATATTGCAGAAGAGTTAGTGAGGTTATTTTTTTCTCATACATAAACCTTTATTGACTAAATTTCTCCTTCTGTCACGTTTTGCAGATAAGTAAGCAGCAGCTCCAGACAATCAAAGATCGTTTCCAGGCCTTTCTCAACGGAGAAACCCAGATTGTGGCAGATGAAGCATTTATAAATGCTGTCCAGAGCTACTATGAGGTAAGGAGAGACAATACAATATTCATATGAATCCTCGTTCTCACTTCTATTCACAGACAAAGTCAAATTCTGAACTAATGGATTGTCCTTTATCAGACAGCACAAAATAAAGGCAGGTGCAGGGCTTCTTCCATCTCATGTCTGGTACATCACAAGGTTTGTGAGGTTCAGGGTTTGAACATGCAGCCATATGGCAACCATGGCAACCCCTACACCATGGTGTATCCTATAGCTTGATTGTGAGCAGGATAGTCCTTCCTTTAAGCTGAAAAATACCTTCCTGATGCTTTTGAACAGTATACTCTGGAACAGGGAAGATGACATGACATAAAATAAATGTCACATGCTCCTTATGAAAAATACCAAGAGAAAACTGGGCAGCACATTCAGTTCTTGCTGAAGCTTTTGCGTTGTGTCTAATTGAATTTGAGATTTTCAGCAAGTCTTGTATTTTCTCTTTGATATGACAAGTGCTGTAAAGCAAAGAGAGGAGGGAGGAGGATGTACATCTACAAAACTAGATGATACCAAAAAACATGAGGCATCATTCATAATTGTGCAAAAGAATAATTATGCATGTCTGTCTTTTTGCACCTCTTTGTGTGCAGCCCTTTATGCTTCCTTTCATGTCTTTTCTCTGAAGGAAAAAGCTTCTTTTTTTTTTTGAAGGAAATCAGTGCTTGTGATTTGTACAAGGAGTGTTGGTTATTTATTTTTTTTTTACTAGCCTTTCTGCAAACCATTTCTCTTTCTCCCTAGAGCTATTCTGTCATAAAAGGTGAAGATTTTGAATTGCCTACATAAAATATTGCTCTGAAAGTGGAATCGAAAAGGGGACCAAAATCAGATACCAAAACTGAAGAGAATTTCAACTCTATAAAAAATGGCAGCAGCAGCTGCTTCTGTGTAAGGAAAGCACAAATTATCTCTGGATTAATTCTATTAAACTGGCCTAGTAGTTACTGCTCCATCATTCTCTGTACAGGAAGGAAGCTGAGAGTAATTTACATCTCTTATCAGAACAGAAATTGCCAAGGGATCATCAGTTTATCACAGCTTCACTGAGCAGATGCTCTGGGAGAAAGTTTTCAAGATGGCATGAGTTGCATTTTAGGATGTAAGAGCAGTGTCAGATAAGACTATCGGGCAGGAAGAGGAAACTGCTTAAAAACAGGCAAAATACCTCCCTGTTTCACTGGTGGGTCTGGCTGAAAGTGTGTCCTGACCAGGACCCAGAAGTCCAATGCTGTATAATTACCCCAAGCAATCAAACGTATAAAGGATAGTTGATCAGCACTAGTTGTCTGCAAACCCTATGTCTTCAGTTCAACTGGACACTCCACCTGCTCTATCCTACCTAAAATAAGCCACAAAAAGCGTAATGCATCGCTCTGTGTCCTTTACCAGAACTTTCTTTTTCTTCTCCTTTAATTTACGGCTGTGCACTTTCAGCTAAGTGTGATGGCCAGTCTTAGACTAGTTCACAGGCTGCTATCAAATTACAAGATTGGGTGAGCTGAGCAGGCTTCATTGCTGGTCTGCAAAGCACTGTTGTGCCTATAGGAATGCTGCAGATCCATGGGTGCAAGATGGGCCCAGCACGCTCCCACAGATGCTCCAGGAGAGCCTGTTTGATGTCCTTTTACTTCTACGAGTAAAGCTTTGTCTGTCAACTAACACTTTATGCAGCAAGTCCTTTCAGTGAGTATTATGGAAATGCTTTGTTGGACTTGTGTCCACTCTGCTGTGGACAGACAAAGCCAGGACCATGGGGGGCTCATCTATGGACATGGCAGGAGATGCCTGACCCAGCTCACAGAGGCCAGTTCCCTTCTGCATGCGCTGGTGTGTGCAGCCACGCTAGGATTTTGCTCCAGCAATTCTTGACTCCTTGCAGTCCTACCAGGCAGTCTCACAGCTGAGCGATTCACCTGGTATTTTCTAAAGAAAGCAGCTTGCTCTGCAGGACAGAACACCTCTTTTATCTTTTTATCTTCCTATTTCACAGTCTTTTTCTGCTGCTTTGTGTCTGACTGGCACTCCTGTGTGCCTGCCTCCTCTCTGCCAGCCCCAACCCTCTTTTCCTCTTCTGGCTGCTGTTCTGCACCCAGGGAGGACAAATCTGGGCTGAGGGGAGATGAGGAGTCAGGTCTCTGCCCTCGGTGCCTTCACCCCTCTGACATGGGTGAGGGCCAGGGATAACAACAGCTGCTGGTGCTGGCGGGTGTGGGAAGTCATTGGTGCTTTCGCACAGGGTCAGGCTAAAGGTGCCTGGAATGAGAGAGGGGACATGGAAGCTGAGGAAGCCACAGCAGAGCCGTTTGCCATGACCTCCCACCATTTCCAGCAGTCACTGTGCTGAGAACTTCCTCGGCTGCGTTGGGAGCTTGGAGTTTGATAGCTCTCACCTATTACTTAAAGGCACCTACACACACCTGGAGTGTTATCACTCTTATTTAAGAGTGATATCCTTCCTCTCCAAGGAAGCATGTTGGTATCATTTCAGCATGAACTGAAGAGGCTGCTGGTGGCATCCTGCCCGTCTCATCTGCAGGGAGAGCTCCCCAGCAGAGTGATGTTGGAAGGAAACAGCCCAGCTCTTCCTCAGCAGCATTTCTGGGCTGGTCCTGGAGCAAAACCCACTACCACTGCTGACAGATGCCTGTGCCATCAAGCATCTGGGTACGTGGAGTGCCATGTTGCTGAATGGTATTAAAAAAAATCTACCAAGTCCTTAGGTCGTCCTCAAGCTCTTTAGTTATTGAGAACTGACAGATACACCCCTGTGTTGGCACAGCTTCTTCCCAGCCTGCTGCATTCATCCATTCTCAGCATTATTAATAAAACAGCAGTTCTTGCTGGGCATCGATTGCTCTCCTATGTTCAAGGCTTGGGAGAGGAGAGCCAACACAATATCCTCCTGTCCCTCTTGCCCTTCAGCTCTGCGTTGCTCCCACGGCATCTCCTGGCCTGCAGGGGTCTGTTGAGTTTTGACCCTTCTGCTGCTCTTGCAGTGAGAAGAACATATTAATCAAGTGCCTCTCCCTCTGTCCTGCTGTCAGTGTCCTGCCCCTTGCAGGCTGCTCTCTCTGCAGAGCCTTCCTAGGCAGCTCAAGCCATGCTGAACCATCCTGTGCTACTACAGCAGAGCTGGAGCAGGAAGGGATTTGGCCTTGTCCACCAGTGGCCATGCCACCAGCTGTGTGCCTTTGAATGATCTGAGTTGCCTTGGTGTTTACCCATCTGTTTGCCAAGATTAGGCCATTGGTTCTTGTCCTTTCCTGGGGCATTTTAACTATACTCTTCCAGTGCTGGCTGCCCAGGTTGGAAAGACCAGGGTATGGGAAAAGTGGAGACACACGTGTTATTTAACTGAAGGTAACATTAAATTAATAGAATGCCATTCCTCTCATCTTCTGATAACAGGGCAGTCTGCAAAGGTCTCCTCTGGTCTAGTAGCTTAATGTAAGCCTGGTCCTTGCACTGGTCGGAGGTTTCCCAGGGGCCTGACTACCAGGATAAATGCAATGCAATGCTGCTGACTTGACCAGGATGAGTGGGCTCCCTCTAATAGGGCAGAATTTGGCTAGGTGGTTGTAGTTGCGCAATAACTTCCTTATTAAAACATTTGATAGAGCAAGATATCTTGCTTTCCCAAAGAGCATTTATATATCCGGTGAGGTGGGACTACAGCATCGCATGAAGTTCTAATTGCATCAAAATGTTCTGTATTATCGGACGCAAAGCAGAAGCTTCACCTGATTTCATTACGCTTCCCCAAGTACAGCTGAAACCTCTGTCCGTCTGGCAACAAGTGGTTGCTGAGTGAGAAGCTGGAAAGTGTACTGGCAGCCAGTTAGCAGGTTTCCCAGCACTGGAACTGTGTTTTGTGGTACTCGAGGAGGATTTTGGTTTTTTAACTGACACCATTTGAAGTCACCCTTTTTTTGCAGGTTTTCCTGAAAAGCGACCGCGTTGCTAGGATGGTGCAGAGTGGAGGGTGCTCGGCGAATGACTCCCGGGAGGTCTTCAAGAAGCACATTGAGAAGAGAGTGCGCAGCCTGCCAGAAATTGATGGTCTCAGCAAGGAGACGGTCCTGAGCTCTTGGATGGCAAAGTTTGATGCTATTTACCGTGGGGAAGAGGATCCCCGCAAGCAGCAGGCCAGGATGACGGCGAGCGCTGCCTCGGAGCTCATCCTTAGCAAGGAGCAGCTCTACGAGATGTTCCAGAACATTTTGGGGATCAAGAAATTTGAGCATCAGCTTCTGTACAATGCGTGTCAGGTAAGGTTCTTCTCCCAGCCTGGGTGGGAATGGAAAGGGGTTTCTTGGGGAAGGGGTTACCAATGGGAAATGCTGCTATTATGAACTGGAAACTTTTGATCTGACCAGACTGATTTTGAGAGAACTTCCACCAGGGCAGGGGGTTTCGGTTCATGGTGGTTTCGGTTCTCTGCTAGTTTTGTTCTAGCCATCTAAGAGGGCCTCCTTCTCTTGCTCATGCTTGTTTTCTTGTGAAATCCCAGAGAATTGCTGAGCTGGGAAAATTTTATTCCTCCAGCTCTGTGTCTGGATGAGCAGGTCTTTGACGGTGTCTAAGTGGGCCGTTTTGCTGTGACTTGCTTGCCTTTCTGCTGTCACATCACCAATCTAAATGACAGAAGTATGTTCTTGCAGCCTGCAATAACCTTATTAGTACTTGAAGCTCAGATGCCCCCAGGGTTGGATGTCTTATGCAAACTGGCTTATTGAGGTTGTGTACAGGTTCCCCTTAAGTAGAGGGAGCCTCTGTGACCCCTGTGTGCCTGTGGCGGGAGGAGAGAGCATCCCAAACCCTCATGACCTGGAGGGAAACTCAACTTGCAGTATGAGTTCCCAGATAGATGAAAACCTTTCCCATTCCTCTCCTTTTCCCCCCAGTAAGAACCAGTTTTCAGAGGCACGGAGCTGGGACTCTGCAGTGCTGCTTGCCTTTCCAGCAGCTCTTGCTGAGGGCTGTCAGTGGCTGTCCAGGCTGTTGGTGACCCAGATTACAGTCCCCTGCTATTGGATATAAATATCACAGGCGGGATAAAGGATGTCAGAGTCACAGGGAGGGTAAGGTAATGCTGTGGAAAGTTTTCGGAGGAGGAGCAGACCTCAGTCTCTTTCCTGTAATTCAAGGGTTCAGCTTCTTATTGAAATTAATACATTTGAGACCAATTCTGTGTGTCTTCTGTCTAGACATTTCCAATTCTTTTCAAGACGTAGAAAATAGTTTGATCTGTTTTTTCTCCTGTAAAGAGCTTAATTATCTTGCCTTTGTTCTTCTTAATCTCAGACCTTTACGGCAGTGTGGGGAGAGGATAATAAATGTCCCTGAGTTAAGGCGTCTTCATGGCAAAAAAGCAACAGCAAGGACTGCATCGATCCTCATAAATTATGTTTACAAACCAGATTTTGTGCTGCTGTCCCCTGATGGAGGACTTCTTTAAAATCAAAACCATAATATTTTCAGTGGTGTGTTGAGAGCTGAGTCAGTTCTGCAGTTGTTTTTTGAATGTAAACCCACTCAAGCCCTGTGTCTCTCATCCCCCCTTGACCTGCGCTTGGCTGACAAGCTAGGGTGGTTTTGTGTGAGTGTGTGATCCTACCCTCTTGCTTTGCGGTTCCCAGGGATGCAGAAAACAGTATTTAATCACGGCTGCCCTGCTGTGTGGATGATACCTGCTTCTGAGAGCCTTTCTGCCTGACACCATGAACCCAGTGGCTGCTCCCTGCAAATTACCCTGTTGCATCGAGCAACCTATTTCCTGCAGTAGGTCCTCACTTTGCTCTGGAAGTGAAGGATTTAATTCTGGGTCTTTTCTAATACTCAGAGGCAGCAAACCTGTAATTTAAGCTTTTAGAGAAAGACATAATTTCTGTTGAAAGCGAGTATTAGCACGGGAGTTACTCTGCTTTTAATACCTAGATAGTGAGGATTAGCTACGCAGAAGGGAAAGCCCTTGGTAGAAGGCACAACTCGGAAAGCTGCAAGGCCAGCAGATGTTCATGTGTTTGGTGTTTTCCTGGGGTACAGTCCGATGGTTACGGTGCCGTGGTGCTGGTGCAGTGCTGGGGAGTCTGCCCCGTGGGCAGTGAAGGTGGGAACAGGTCACTGCTGCTCCTTCCCCCATGAGATGCTGCAGGGAAGGCAGCAGTGAGCACCCAGCAGAACTGCAGGCTTTGCTGTGGGGACCCTTATTTGGATGCTGCCTGTGGTCATGTCACCTGGGCTGTACCAGAGAGATCTCTGGAGCTCTCCAGGAACCAGCAGCTGCTCTGCACTTTGGTCTTGACGTGAAGCACCAAAATTGGTGTTGATTGCTACTCCTTCCTGCAGGGTCCCAGCCATTGCTTGCAGCCAGCCTGTTGTAGGGTATAAATTAAACTTGTCAACCTAAAAGTGTTTTTCTTCACATAGCTTGTGTGGGGAGCTCCCAGCACAAGTTGAAGATGTGCACCACTTGGCTAGCGTGTTTTCTGCAGCAGAGCTGCAGGGGAGGGTGGAAGATTATATGCAATGAGCAGTGATTCAGTAACCTGCCCCTCTTCTTCCCCCAAAAGCTTCCTCCTGATCTCTCATGATGAAGCACTGACATCAGCCCTGAAACAAGAGATTTTGAACTTTAGTAGCAAATTATTTCCTACTCTAACTCCAAAAGTTCTTGGTGTTTGCACAGGGCAGATTTCAATACCACAACAGCAGCTGAGTGCCCGATTGCTCCAGGCTGGATGCAAGTCAAGCCCTGGGCAGTGCCCTTCGTGGCTTGGAAACTCTCCCGTGCCGTAAACCCCTGGACTGTACTGAGCCACTCTGCACCAGCAGCATCTCCAGTGTGTGAATTCTGATACCAATTAGAGAGCCAGAGGGACCTGCCAATGTTGCAGCACTAAAACCAGAGACATCTGGACAGAGAAGAATCGTGTGTATGGTGTTGCAGCAGCCTGGATGGGTGCTGGGTGGAAAGGGACCCAGAGCAGCCAGAGGGGAGGAATGGGTCCCTGCTTTGCACATACAGGTGGGCTGTGGCCGTGGCAGGACTGGGACATGCTTCTGCAGGACGGCTTCCAGCCGCTCGCTCTCTCTCCCCACCACTTTGTATTTTCATAAATTTTCATTTGCCGCATCTGTCTCTCTCTGCTTGACAAGCCATCTTCTGTAAACACCTCTGCTCTGCCAGCCTGGCCTGGAATCAGCAGCGAGCTCCCTTCCTGGGTGGGTTTGCAAACACCTCTCAGCCTGTGCTTGCAGCCGTACTTGCAGCACAGAGCACACCCGTTGAGCTTTGTGGCACTGGCCCCATAACCCCTAAAAACAGTCATTTATTTCCATCATGCTGTCTTGTTTCAGTCTGGGCTGCGTTTCAGTCAGAGTCAACCTAAGCAGCGCTCGTTTGCCGCTCTGTGAAGGCACAATTACTCCGTTGGTCTGACTCTTGTCTCATCAGAGTTAATTGGAAGTACAACTTAAATCTTTTTCTTAATAATTTGATTGAAGCTTCTGTCGCCTGTTGCGTAAGAACAAAATATTTTATATATTCTGTTTGTGAATAAGCTTTAAATAAAAGGAAAACACTGTCTGGCATTTTCGTGGATCTACTGAAATTATAATATTTCCAGAAATGCCGTGTGGGCTCAACTTGCGCACATGTGGGTGATCAATACGTTTGCTTTTCTCCCTCGAGCAGCGTACAGGCAGCTGCTGCCAGAGCCCACCACGGACCATGGTGCCAGCCCCAGGCTGTGCACTGGGACCGAGCAAACCTCCCAAACAAATCCAGGGGGAATAACGAGCTTCCCAACGGTGGTTTGGTGTGGTATAAGCTGCGCTTATTTTTGACCTACGCTTTTCTGACGTGCATGGGATGAATTGGAGGAACAGAGCCTTGTCCCTGGCAGGCTGTCTGAATGCCATCACTCTCTCTGGAGCAGCAGCACGGTGCTGTTAACACAGTTTATCAGTCAATCACCTCTGCTTAAAAAAGCAAAGCTGATCAGCTTCTCCTATTGCTTCTGTTGAGTGGGAACAGAGGGGCTGGCTGGTCTGATGTGCTCTTCCTTGCTTTGGTGTGCAGGGTGAAGACGTCCCAGAGGCTGTGCAAGGAGGTAAGGGGTGGGAAGAGTTTAGCCTAGTTGCTGTCCTCCTAAAGCATGAGTAGGAATGGTCCTGAGAGCCCCAAACACTTGCTTGGACTTCTCCTGCGGTCTGGAAGAGGGTGCTTTTTTCTATGTGGCCTCCTGTTACATCATACTCAATAACTGCATAATGATTACACAGAATCACAGAATTGTAGGGGTTGGAAGGGACCTCAGGAGATCATCCAGTCCAACCCCTTTTTTCCCTACACCAGGTTGCACAGGAAAGAGTCCAGGTGGGTTTTGAACATCTCCAGAGAAGGAGACTCCACACCCTCTCTGGGCAGCCTGTCCCAGTGCTCTGGCGCCCTCAGAGTAAAGAAGTTTTTCCTTAAGTTTGTCTGGAACTTCCATGTTCCAGTTTTTGCCCATTGCCCCTTGTCCTGTCACTGGGCACCACTGAAAAAACCCCGGCCCCATCCATTTGGCCCCCACATTTCAGATATTTATAGACATTGATCAGATCCCCTCTCAGTCTGCTCTTCTCCAGGCTGAACAGTCCCAGCTCTCTCAGCCTTTCCTCATACAGGAGATACTCTAGCCCCTCATCATCTCTGTGGCCTCTGCTGAACTCTCTCCAGAAGATCCCCGTCCCTCTTGAACTGAGGAGCCCAGAACTGGACACAGGACCTCAGATGTGGCCTCACCAGGGCAGAGTAGAGGGGGAGGAGAACCTCTCATAACCTGCTCGCCACACTCTTTTTAATGCACCCCAGGACACTGTTGGCCTTCCTGGCCCCAAGGGCACACTGCTGGCTCATGGCCAACCTGCTGCCCACCAGCACACCCAGGTCCTTTTCCACAGAGCTCACTTACATCACTGGGACTGGGTTTTCATTTACTTATGAAATAATATTTTGTTTGTGCAGAATGAGGATGATTTCTGAAGGGATTTTTTTTTTAAATACAGTATCCCCAGGTGGTATGAGATAAGTGTATTATTAATGTGATAGCAGTGATATACCAGGATCTGAGATAGTGAAAGGGATTGATGCGGTTAGAAAGGCTTTTAGGAAACAAAGATGGGAAGTGGTGTTGTAGGAGAATGATTGTGGCGATAACGGTGTTGTTAAGCACAACCTCTGACTAGAACATTCTAAATAATACACAGAGGCTTAAGTTTT